CAGACTGGAGTGCAGTGGCCGCTCCCGGTCACCGCAGTCTCAACCTGATGGGCTCTGGCGATCCTTCCGCCTCAGCCTCCAAGTAGCTGGAACTACAGGCCTGGCTAATTTTTTGATTTATTTTAGAGATGAGGTCGCACCAAGTTGCTCAGGTGGGTCTCAAACCCACGGGCTCAGGCAGTTCACTCACCTCAGCCTCCCAAAGCTCGGGATTACAGGCTGAGCCACCGAGCTCTGCTTACTTGGGGGTTTCTAAGGACAGAAGGCAGCTTTGGGTAGCCCCAGACCCATCCCTGAGTCACTGGCTCCATAGGTTGGGCACAGCCGGTCTCTCGCCTCCTGGCTAGTTTCCCCACCTAAATTCTGAGACAGATTGAATATGAAGTTCTGGGAGGATCACAGGTGTGAATCTTTTTGTATGCTGTTAGAAGGCCTAGGCTGCTTGTTTTTGGCTTGGCCAAAACTTTATTCTTTATGTTAATTTTGCTTAAATTAGAAAAGTAACCTGTGTTTGCTGCTGTTACTCATAGTCAACGTTTACTAAAATTTTCTATCTGCCAGACACAAGGATTGACAGTTCTCATGACAATCCCTTGAGGGAGTGACTTTCATTAGTCCCATTTTACAGATGGAGAAACTGAGCTTGAAGTTTGCACAGCTGGGGTTCAAACCGAGGCCCTAGACACTTCATACCTGCCTCACACCCCCTTCTCCCACTCAGTTCCTGCCTGAGGCTGGCAGCATGACCATTTATAGTAGGCCCCTTTTATATCTTTCTTGTCTACAAACATGCCTGCCTCAATATCCCTGGAGCCTCAGATGGTGCCAGGCACATGACTAGAGCTCAATATTTACAGAGAGAACAAATGAAGGAAAAAAGGAAGAGCGGAAGTGAGGGTTCATTCAGGTCCTTCCAGCAGGCCTGGGATGCAGAGGGAAGCCCCTTCATCTGTCAAGTACGGAGCACTGTGTGGGAGGTCAGGCCTTCGGTTGTGCTCTCAGTACACAAGGGATTGCTCAGATACTAACTGAATAGGGCAATGGCTACCCCAAATATAAGGAAAGTCACTCAACGGGCATTTTCGTGAGCCCTCACCACTGTATGTCTAGGCAGTTGCAGAGACAATGGACGGGATGAGCAGGAGAAAACTCAGTGCCTGCCTTGGAGTTGCTGACATAAAACATAAGACAATACAATGATGTGATCCCTATAACATTAGTCTATGAGAGACAATACAGCAGGCAAACAGATAGCAAGGGACAGGATGGGTGCTCTGTTAGGATGGGTTGTTTGGGAAAACCTGTCTAAGAAGGTGACCATTGAGCAGAGATCTCATTTAAGTAAAAGAAGAAGCTGAAGGCATATCTCCTGGAAGAGCATTTTATGTGAGAGGGGAGAGCAAGGTCAAGTGCCCTGAGGCTGGAGGGGGCAGGCAGGGAGGCCAAAGTGGCTGGAGCACTTACAATATACCAAGCGCCATGTAAGGTGAGGTGGCTGGACCCTACGCTGTTCCTTCCACAGATGAGAGTGCTAAGGCTCAGGTTGTTATACCAAGAAGTGCCCCAGTGAGAAGGCAGAACAGTGAGGCCGGGACTGGGAGTCTGGCCTCCTTCTCTGCCCCCTTACTTCAGGGGTCAAGAACACCCCAGGGGCAGCCGATGCTGGGAGGTTTCTCCATGGGCAGGCAGGGGGCTCCGCCTGGGAAGGAAGGGCTTGGTGAAGTGGGGGAGTGCGGGAGGGATGGGAGGCAGGAAATGGGAAGCTGGGGGAGGGGTAGGGGAGTGAGGGGATGGGTTGGGACTGAGTGCTGAGCCTGGAGGTGGCATGGGGCTGTGGCCTGAGAATGAGGTGGCCTGGTGGTTACAGCAGGAGAGCTGAGCAGAGGAGAGAGTTAAGG